GAGATAAGAGGCTGTGCTTTTAGTGCTAATGTAGCCAATGTAGGGTAATCTGATCCCTTCAGGCTAACAGTACTGTGTGTCTATATGTGTGTGAGTTTGTTTGTGTGCATAAATGCATGTGTGTAGTAACAATCACAGCAAAATGAAAAAGCCCATCTGCACTAAGGCCCACTGAAAAGAAATAGCTATATGAATAAATATTGTACATCTTTGCTGCCACAGTCTGGGATAAATGTCAATGTTTTGTGTATATTACAACCGTTTAATTATACTAGTTTTAATATATAAGTGATGCTCTGCTTCCATGTTTGTTTTCCTTTTCACTTCTGTCTTCCCTTTATTGTCATCACTTCGTTCAAACCCTACAGAATTAGTAGGAGCAAGATATGTATTCAGAATCAAATGGCCAAAGAGGATGATCATGGTGACAATGATTCAACAACATGAACAAAGAGGTAAATGGAGAAGCTGAAATCGGATGCTTTGTGCTTAATGGGACAGTGAAGTGAACCAGAGTGAGCCAGGCAGTGTTTTTCCAGCTAACATAATCAAATACCATATTGACCTGAGGTGAGCTACAGTACAGATGGCTGCTGCTGAACTGAGGTTCATGGCTTCCAAATCAAATTGGCTAGATTGAGTTATGGATATAACAGGTAGAGGGCTTCTTAATGCAGCATCATATGTACGTCTAGTTCATCATGGATGTACAATACATGTACCAAAGTGGATGTAATGCATTTTATCTTGGAATAAAAAGTTCTACATTAAGTCAATGGTCTTTATGATAAAAAAAAAACAACAACTTTAAAGCTAAAGGATTATTAAGATTTGTTCGTATCCCTCCTCCCACCAACTATCTTTGGGAGGCTAAAATTTGTTGTGGATCTCCTCAAAGTTGGTCAATACCATTTAGGTTGCTGTGTGTCTGGATCCTGTTGGGTCACTAGCCATCTAAGAACACAAACTGCACTGTCATGTATCACTCTGTAACACTGTTCTCCTTAATTTTATTCAGTGCTCACTTGTAGAAGTGAAAAGGGAGTGTGGGCAATAGCTTTTAGTACTCCTCCTTGGACCTTTTATAAACAAAGCCCTAACTGACTGCGAAGCTTATGGAGACAGCTGCTGCCCCCTGGAGGATACCAATGCACATGACCAGAATTCAAAAGTCAATTGTTTATGAGCTACCGGGTTCTAGTCTGTCACGGTGGGCCTGAGCTTATATCGGTAACTCTACGGTCATGTGTGTGAAGCCGATTCCATTTTTTTGGTATACAGTGAAAATATCACTGACCAGCCAGGAAAACTGACTTTGAATATATTTTCCACTGGAGTGATGAGCTTTGATGACACTGATACCGGCACTTGTGTGACCTGACACACCCAGTCAGCATGTAGCAATAGTTGGATATGGAGGGCATCTCAAATGTACCATTTTAGTTTAGTTTCTTATTTAAAAAAGAAAAAAACAATTACCTGGGCTAAAACATGGCCTTAAACAGGTAAACCTGTTATGTTACATACACCAGCCTGAAGGCCTACTTTGTTTCACTTGTCTAATCTATGTTGCAACATTGTCAACCTAGTGCTAATGAGTTGTTTAATGGAAAGGACGTTTGTAATTTGTGCTGTTACTGGTTCGCTATTTACTGTGCAAGTCTTCCTGATATTCTGTCTGACCATAACATATTATTGGAATGTTTCAAAGACAGGTTCATTTGAGATCACAACAAAACAAAATCCCCCATTAAGGTGTGTTAATTATACTTACATTGGATTGTGTGTTTGTATTTTGGATTACTTTATCATCCATCTCCGTAGATGGTGTCTCTGTCTGAAAATGGAAGGCACAGCTAACTTGCAGCATTCAACTGTTCAGCCATGCATTTAGCCAGCCTCAGCTAATTATTTTAATATGTATGAATTGCAAGCATCACTCAAGGTTAGTTTGTAAATGATTACATAACTTTATATTACTCATGGTACTTGTGCACATAAATCTGCAACATTGTGTGACTGGTTAGGATGACTTGCTCTTAATTCAATTAGTAATAACATGCATAAAAGGAATTAAACTTTGAAAATAAAACACAATTACAGTGTTAAAATGAAAATTGTTAGAATTACACATGTAAATACACCGTTAGTGTTAACACAAAATACTGCCAAAAACAGAGACAGCAATCTGGAGTCTTGCCTTGGATTTCTTTTTGCTGAATTGGAAGATCCCCAGGAAGCCTTTCTTCTCAGGGCTACCTAAACTGAAAGTACTGGAGCAAATGGGGTCTATCCAAAAAAAATAAATAAATAAATAAACAAGAGAAGGAAAGGAGATGGAATTAGGGTCATCTTCAACTGTTTATGAGAAATTCAGTAGAAGTGAGACAAATTTGACAGTGCATTTGTCTTGACAGAAGAGCATTGTGACTTTACAGTACACTCTCACATGTAAGCCAATTTAGTTTGATCCCTGTGAAATGTAATTTGATTGCAGTGTTCAATAAACAGATAAAGTGTTTCCAGTTTTTATTGGTCATTTTATTACATGGTTAAAACATCTACAGTGAACTGAACATAATCTGATTTTCCTCAGCAGAGGGTGCTGTAGCATCACTGTTCTCAAAGCCCATCTCTATCACGGTCTACAAAAAGGTACAATTAACCTGTGTCACCATAACACTGTTGGCTTGAAGAGAGGCAGGGAATAGGGCTGCATGGTAAATTGTTTTGTGAGCGTGATTTAGATCCCTGTGTGATCTCAGTTTGATGTGACAATGATTTTGCTGTGTGATTAGCAGTGAGCTGCCTTGCACCAAACTAAGCGCTGCCTTTTTCCTCATTAAGCTGTGTTAACCAATAACTGCAACTAATAACCCCAAAGTCATTTATTTCTGCTTCTACTGCTATTCGGCACTAGTCATACTGGACAGGCACAGCAATGTTTGAAAAACATTTGCAGGAGGACACGGCCCAGCAAGTTTATTTATATAGCACATTTTCATATACAAAGGCAATCTAAAGTGCTTAACACAATGCACACTGATGGATAAAACATTAAAATGCATACAACATGCACACAGACAAAAAACATTAAAATGTATATATAGACAAAACATTAGAATGCAAATAAAAGCAACAATTAAAAGATAGTGCATGAAGCATCATGCATGAGTAGAGCGCACATAATATCTTCCACAATGTCAAAAATGCTGGATTTGTTTTTGAATCAGTCTTCTCTTCCTGTCTACAGCTTGTCACATGATGTAACGTATTTCTGCTACTGGTTAATGCAGCTTAGTGAGGAAAAGGGAGCGCTTGGTTTGATACAGGGCATCTCTGTGCTAATGCAAACATGGCAGAATCATTGTCACATGAGACTGAGATCACACAGGGGTCTAAATCACGCTCACAAAATGATTTATCATGCAGCCCTTAAAATCACAGAGGTATACTACTGGGTTATTTGTATTCTGGAAAAAGCATAGGAAAGTTTAAAACGGATAGAGATGAATATTCATGATAAATTATTTCAAAATGATGGGCACTGACTACATTAACAAGTGTTATAAATGACATTAAACCAACAAAAAGGTTTTTTTTGAAGATCAATCACTTCCAAGCAAACACACGTCTAATGCGGTAAAGAGAAGGGTTAATAAGCAAGCAGAAGTGTGTTGGGTTAAAACGGCAACATGGATATGGTTGGGTGACTAATACCTGATAAGTTAAGAGCTGGGGCAGAAGCCATTTTAGGCTGGAGAACTGGAAAATATGACAGGGTTTAAAAACACATTCAGTCATATATGGATATGAATGACCTACAAAAAAAAATAAAAAATCTATTTGTACATTATAAGCTAAAGGTCTTTCATAATGTCTGCAAAATATAATCATTAAATAATATCTGGTCATAAAGATGACAATGTTCTAAATATCCCTACTTATATTCTTCATGACCATAAACCATTACCTTTTCCTCTAAGATCATACTTTGAACAATATCTATAAATATCAGTGGGTGTGGACTGTTACCATGTCAGTGAATCATAACAACTGACCATAACTTCCTACTAAACAAAGCATAACATAAATTATTCTACCCCAAGAGACAAACACAGTATTTGACAAGGTTCTTTTAGCTGAACATACCCTAAGAAACACAGCATAGGGTTATGTTTCAGTTAATGCTTTGACATATTAAACCAATGACTGACTGCACAAACTATGTTAATAGTACATGCTGATCATGCTGTACTGCAGAATACAATGTAATGCTGGTTTTGTCTCTCATTGCACTGGAAGTGCTTTAATGAGCTGTGATGGACTGGGTTCACTTGAGATCCATACTTTGCTTCCTGCAAAAGGCACAAAATGCCTTTGATTTTACAATGTACAACCTGGTATAAGGTGGCAAAGGTAAGCAAACACTGTCATTTTAAGGCAAAGAGCAATGTTAAACTTGTTGTTCCTTATAGGGAAATTCTCTTTCATCTGGTTCTCATCCACAAAAAGGTCCAAACAGTCACAGGCCCACACCCTCTGTAGATGGATGTGTCAGTCACACTCTTGTTCTATACAACACGCCTACATTTAAAAATATTTTCTGAAGTTCTGGCATACCGAGAGCTGTCCTAAATCAGTTAGTAAAATGTGGATGCAGACTAGAAAACCCACTGACGGCCAGTGACCATTTTTGCTCACTTACTGTCCCTAAACAGAAGCTCACTTGACAGCAAGTGAAAAAAACATTATGCAAGTTCTGTTGTTCTTTCTTTTCTGATCATGCATATAGTGCTATATTTCCCAACTCACTGTCTTTTTTGGTGGCTTAAGACAAAAGTAAAAGACTGTGATTCACTAACTGCATATCCTAATTGCTTTGGGGATGACAGTAATTTGTAGGGCAACAGCAGATAATATCACATGATAAGTAGATGAGCCAATGCATCTATCAGCATCCATGATCATGTTTTTTTATCTGCTTTAAATCAGCTTACCAAAATTAGCCACTAATTTCACAGAGCATAAACCAAGGTGAAGGAACCCCAGCCTTTAAAGAAAAAGAAAATTACATAAGACAGAATCCAGATGTTAAAGGTTTACCTAGCCTCTGATCGTGTACATAGAGCTCCTTGATCCCCAGCTCTGTCAGTGATTTGTCCAGTGGTATCTCGTGGCGACTGCTGCTATCCTTCAGGAGCAGGATATGTGCAGGGTCAAAGTCACACTTTTCACAGATGACTGGTATCAGAGCCTGGAGTGGTACTAATGGGTTGACCCGCACCACTGCCTTTTGGGTGCCGTGGTAGTTCACCATCAAGCGCACGGTTTTCTGATACATAGAAGAGAGAATTGGGGAGAAGACTAGATGTTGGTGTCTAACAACTGGATGAGGAAAACAGCAGTCATTGAACAGGGATCTTCTTTTAAAAGAACTTCTTGCAAGCAGGACAACAGCAGTGTACAAAGCTACACAATGTGGAGATCCTTTTACAGCCACGTCTCTATTAGATGCAAAAAAGGCCGACCTTAATGGATGAGAAACACAAAAAGCTGACCTGACAGAGATGTGTTGTATTGTTTTTCCATCAAATAAAGCTTGAAGCTGATAACCAAACATGTGACAGGAAAAAGCATAGGCCAACTCAGTTACAAATGTACATTTTTATACGCACACACACACACACACACACACATATATACATATATATATACACATACATTAGTAATAGTCTAAAATATGAACTTCTGTAACTTGTCAGTTTTGCAGCATCTGACTTGTGCAAGCTTAACAACTACAATTGTCTTGAACTTACACCTTTTAGATAGTACAAATTCAGCACTGGTCCACATGGGCCTGTCTTTTACTACCACTTCTCAGAGCAGAATTTCTTGAGCAGAATCTCAGAGTTCTTATCCAAAATGTGGTTAGGGTTATCTAGTGCAACTATTTGTAGTTGCACTAGATAACTACACAAAAGATGGCAAAAATTTAACTTCAGTCACAACACAACTCTGAATGTAGTTGAACTACCAGCAAGTTACTGCAAAGTGTAGTTAACCTGCTAGTTTCATTACATGTAGTTCACTACTCCCCAACACTGCTCAGAGAGTAATATTTATGCCTTTGTAAGCGAGCATTTTTCTTGCACCAGCCTACCAGACATGTAGACAAGCCAAAATAGCCAAGAAAATGCCACAAAGAAGAGCAAAGGGCACGGCAAACAGCAAGGTGAGGCAGCGATAAGTCCATATACGAGTCCTCTCAAATCCAACGACACTGTAAAGCCACACTTGGTCAATGCTACGAAGTCTAGCTGGTTCTGCCAGCACATTACTGACCTCTACCTACAGAAAGGGGGCAAGACAGGAGAAAAGTTAGTCAAGTCAATATAATTATAGAGTACATTTTAAAAACAAGTATGAAAACAACTGTTTTACAGCATCAATTGAGAGGGGAATTACTGCTTGATCTGGAGAGAAATACAGCAGTGAAGATGTGAAGATATGATAAGGCAGTGACCAGATCTCCAAATGAGACCTTTTTTTAAAAAAAAACTTTTGCTATTCATCTGATGTAGAAAAACTACTAGTAACATCAGAATTTGTCAAATTTTAGAGGAGAATCAAAAATAAAATCCAAACTTTGGTGGAAGCATATATCAATAAAATAAAAGAGGGCCTAAAATGTACCTCTGGGGTACACCGCAAAAGATAGCAGAGGAGAATGAAAATGTATATACATATATATATATTAAACTATAACTGACACTGATCTATGTTGCAAATAAAAATTACATCCCTCTAAGGCCTTACCCTGAATGCTTGCCACACATCTGAGACATAGCTGAGAGCTTGAAGAAAAGTAAAATTGTATGATTTTCAGAGTATACATTCTCAAAAACCTTATGCCTGACTCATTCAATTTAGGATAGGATGGGTGTAGTGAAAATGTAGAAGGACCATTACAACTCTGCTTAACCAGTAATAATCACACAAGTAGTCTGTGAAATTCTTTGTACCTGTATAGTCATAATGGGGAGAAAAGGGAATGAGGACCTTTAGGTGCTTGTTGATGCCATAAGGGTCCCTGTTGACAGTATTGCTGAGTGTTGGCATAGCAGAGGCTGTGGGAGGAGTTGGCGTAATGGACACAGGAGTTGGGGCTTTGGATGCAAACTCTGGAGGAGGAGGAGGAATGTCTATTGGTTCTCCTCCTCCACTGTTTTCATCACTGTCATCATTGATCTTACACTCCACCAGATAGTCATCGCTCACCATCATCATCTATATATATAAAAAATATGTGTGGACAATACAAAAACTAGCTATATTATTACTCTGCATTGGTTGACTTGCAGAGTAAAAAAAAAATGTGTCGACTATAAAACATGTAGGAAAAGAGACGCACAAATCAGGAAAGATATCCAAACACACAAAGACCCTTTAAGTAATGACTAACTTAAGGTTAGACTTTGGCTGCTGACAGAAAATGTAAGATTTAATAGACTAGAGATGATGTCTGTGTGCACATGTGATTAAAGATAAAGCATCTGAGTTTAGATATGTGTGTGTATTTTGGAAGCTAATCCCACTACACCACATACTGTTCTGTGCTTTATCACTAAGTGGTTGACAACAGCCTCTATAAAAACACACAGACCACATAGGAGTCAAGAGGCTGACGAACTCAGGCAGTGACTCTTGCATGGTTTTTCAATTACTAATAAAGTGGCATTCAAAGTTTTGTATTACTTTGATGTCTAATGCTAAAACATCTCCACAAATCTCATTTACAGTAGTTTGAGTCCTTTATAATCAGATGCAGCAAAGCCTCCAACTTAAAATACTAAAAAAGTGCAGGCTTTTGCCAAAGTCTAATAATTTTCTGGTTTTCTCAGGCAAAACTGTTGTTGAGAGATGATTAAATAATCATGCATGAATGTGGCCAGTTGATGATTGGTTGACTTCTTTCAGAAGATGAGCATAGCAAAGATTACATATTTTTGACTTATGGGTCACAAGATATGGTGGTGGTGTAAAAAAAAATTAAATAAAATAAAATAAAAAAAGGTCAAAATGAATAAATGGGCTGAGAGAGGAGGCAGTGGCATAATATACATAGCTCTTCACCTTGGTGAAAGTAGCAGTTGTACCATTAGAATAAGAATTTACCATAACAGAGAGCAGCTGTGGTTTTAAGGGTCAAAAACAAACACATCACAGTGTGTCAGCTTTAGCCCACTGCATCAGTTTAAGTCTAGAGTAATTAGAAATTAATAGTTATATCTCATTAAGGAGTTTAATGTCACTGATGTCTGTATTGTGTGTTCAGCTTTATTCCTAATGTACAAGTGAAAGGTACAAAGCTATTTCTGTTTGAGACTAAGGTTTGCCTTCCAAAAATCAGTCATTGAACCCTTGGCTGGATACAAGGTTTATATATAATTATAGCTAACTGAAAGAGTCCAGTTACTTTGTACAGTGTCATATGAGTACTGAATTGTATGACAGTTTACTGAAATGCTTTTTTTATACAATATTTTGTCCATCTGGTCCATATCAATGATGGTCAACTAAATATCAGAAATACAACACAATACAATTCAACAGCACTAACAACAGCAACCTCAAAAACTACTGTTACATTGAATTAACATCACAGACAGCTCTAACAAAAGTAAAGCATTATAAACCTCATGAAGGAAGGCTTTTTGTAGGGTTGTTGTATTAGGCTAAATTAATTGTATTTGAGTGCACAGTTTATTCAGTTTTCATTTTAACTGATGAAACTGGTGGTACAGTGAGAAGACAGATAAAACAGAAGAAGGAAGACTGATGGCATCATCAGTCTCTGGCCTGAGGCCAGGTGGGGTCAAAGGAAGAGAGAGCAGCCAGTGAGCCCTGAGAAGGGCAGAGAAATAATGCATGGTAACTAAAGGTAAGGCACTCATCAAATATTCAAACTGTAGGAGGAGAGCAGAAGAGAAGCAGAGAAAGAATAATGCTCAGTAGAAAAAATAATTTCAGATAGGCTAATGAACTGTAAAAATACATGACAATACAATAAATACAGGGGGAATGAGAAGAGGCACACATGACTGACTAAAAAGCCAGTGTATGAGAACTGACCCAATGTCATGCCAGGCCAGGTTTGTCCCAACCAGCTTCCTACCTTTGCATGGGCCTACCTTTTCTGGTTTCACTGGCCTTGCTTTCTGCCAGCAGTCAGAGGTAAAAGGTAAAGAGGCAAGGGACGAGTATTACATATGGCTTCAGAGTGCAGCTACAGTATGTGTATAGTACATGCAGACTGTACAACTATTTTAAGGGAGATGGTTTTTTCTCTGTCATTCTGGGCTACATTAATCTACATTTTTTCATGCAAAACACACTTTTATTTCTCAACAATCTTGCATTATTCACTTTGCACTAATTTGTTAAATATCAAATGAGTGTCGCTATAACCTTATCTCAGAAGGTTTTGAATATGCTGTGATGTAAAAAAGCTAAAACTAAACATGCACTTGACAAAAAGAACATCCAGATCACAGTATGAGACATCACTGCAACTCACCTCTGGCACTTTGGGTGCTGGTCTGCGTACCACTTTCTCCTCCCAGACCTTCTCCTTGATGAGGACACAGGCCACGTTGAGGGAGCCCAGCAGAGCGTTGGGCTTGAACCCCAAAGGGTGGCCCTCGGGCGATAGCAGCTCCAGTGTGTGCAGCGCTGGATTCAGGTGGTAGCGGCTGCACACCTCAACCAGCAAGTCCATCAGTGCCTTACTGAGAGAGAGATAGGGGGAGAGAGAGAGAAAGCGAAAGAGAGGGTGGGGAGGAAGGAGAAGTAGAGGCAGGGAGTTTAGAAGAAAGGAACACAGGAAGCGATGGGGAGCGAGGGAGAAAGCAAAAGAGGAAGTAACAAAGATAGGATTACAAAGGATACCTAGCTTTAGCTCCAGCAAAGAAGTAATTACTTCATATATCAAACCAGAGACACTCTCTCGAGTGATGCACTTAAAAGGGATAGCTAAGTGATAGATGGAAAATATGATTTTAAACACTGAGCTATTTTCACAGCCAAACTGTAGATTGAATAGCAAAAGCACAGATTTTGACATGAAGCTCAAAAGGTTGTTTATGCCTTCATTCCTTTGCTTGACCATTTTTGATTGGCATGATTTTACACCCTGAAAATGTCCATAGTCAATGGACAATCAATCATAACACTCAAAAATCAGGCCATATGATGTGTAGCATTTAGATGCAATATTGACAGTGACTGAAACTTTTAAAATGTATGGAGGGAGTAAAATATTAACATGAGCCTAAAGCTGCATTTTGGAACATACAAGAATAAAATGTAGTATTAAGCTAATCTTATTCCAACTTTTGTAGGAGAATTAAAAATAAAAGGCTCAAAACAACAACAGTAGAAATACCACTTACATGCTTATTCATATGCTGTAGATTTAATCTGTTGATGTTCATTTAAACAGACTCTAAAGAGCATTTTCCAAGAAAAGGGCAATGATAAAGCACAGTAGCACAGAAAAAATGATTAGCAGAAAACTTGTTGCGATCACAAACTACTTATGTTCACTGAGCTACAAGAGAAGTTCTGAAGTCTACTTCATTGCTTTATGTGTATATACTGTATGTGTGGGGGTGCAGCTGATGAAGAGGACTATAGTATAGTATAGTCAGTCCTCAGGTGCAGAAACCAAAAGACAGTCTCCAGTGTTTTCTGAGAACAGCCAGATCAGATGACAGAACTGGGAGAGATACCAGTGACGATCACTAACACAGGGACCCAGTCTACAAGTAAAATCTGTAATCAACAGACCCAGTGTCCTCTGTCGTATGGTTATTGCGTTGATTTTGTATGTTGCATGTTCATCAATAACAACAATGCAGTGGAGTCAAAATCATCATCCACTTAATGTAAGCAAGTTTGAAAGTACAGTTTGAAAAGTTTACAAAACAAGTCTATGTGATGAAGTGCAGAATGTTCTGAGGTTGTCAACCTAAGATACTCTGAAGAACCAACTTCCTATTTTACACTCGTGAGAAGTATCGTGAAGACACTCACTAATCTAAAGTCGATCTATGGTTAAGAGGACCTTGTTTCTGTACCAGCGGGGCATCCCCGATTTGCTGCACTAAAGGAGGGAACCTCATTAGAGACAAAGATCATTAGCAGATCAGCCTTCATCGTTTGTCTCTCTGAAACCAAGCTTGTGCTGAGGGTGGGACCCCTTGACAGGGCCCCGCTGGCACAGCACCTCAAACTGACCCAGAAGCAACAAAAACATAATTTGTCTCTTAGCTAAAATTAACTAAGATCCTGTATTTATAGATATAAATATTAACATGCACTGTAGGTATGAATGGGTGAACATTTTTCAGTCATAAAAGACTTCATGAAACCAAAATGTAGTCATGGCACATTTTAAAGATAAATGCAATGTAAAAACAAGGCCCACTAAAAGGTTTTTCATATGTTGTAATACAATAACAAAAGTTGCAAATCAACAATCAGCGATTTGTTAAGTCAAGAGTTACTGTGTGGTTGTGTTGCACTCTGTCTTCTCACCTCCCATCCTCAGTTAGAGAAATCTGGCATCCCTGTGGCAGAGTTAGCTGTAGATGGACAGTGGACCTTAGCGCATTCTCCTTGGCATCTACATCTGATGTCCTTCCCCCATCGGGCACAGTGGTTCTGAAGATGTGGCGAGGGGCAGGTTGAGGAGGCTGTGGCGGAGGTGGGGCACGCGTCTTCATTTTCCTCCTGAGCAATTACAAGATTAACAAAAATAAATACTAGTCATTTTTAAGGGTTTGGTTTAGTTCACTTGAGTGTAGGTTTTTTTCATTTATGACCATGGTGCACTTTATTAGGTCATTTCACATGTTGTACTTGAGTATCACATTTACAATTCATGAATCAGCAAATCTATCCATCAAGGGTCCATGATGATTTGATTGAGTCAAGTAAAAACACCTTTTCTATCCAATTCACTATTGACATTCTGACTCACTTCTTTTAATTACCATTTAATCATATTAAACTATGTAGATTATTTTGGTTCATCCACGTCATTTTTGATTTTCTTGAGTTTAGCTTTTGTTACACAGCACAACAGCCTAATGAAAACACCCCACTGCCATCACTGCAGGAGCAGCATGAATACAATGACATTTTTTTTCAGCTTATCTGTTTGGGACACAAATGTTCCCTTCATTTAGACTGAATAACAATCTACAGTTATGCTGATATGATCCATGTGTTTGTCAGGATGATCCAGCCTTGAGCCTTAGTTTATTCCATCTGCTCCTCAGACTCCTATGAATAATAATTTAATCACACCTTCTCTGAAATCACTCTTAAGCAACCACACTTTTAGAAAATATTGCCACATAGGCCTAATCAATGTCTGCTTTCAAAACTCCTTCCTAAAGGAAAATGATTAACGGTCCTATTTTAACAAACATATCTCATCAGATCTTATTCTATGCCCGAGCAAGTTACTTAAAGATATACTCAGCCAAAACAGTAAAAGGCAACATAATCAACAAAGTAATACTAAACTTGAAACCGTAGTCACACATGACCTCATCCCTAATACTGACTAATCTTTAGCATTGTAGTACTACATTTTTTCTATGACTAAAAACTATTCAAAATATCACTATTTGTGGGTATGAGGGATTTGGCTGGTTCAGGTGCATACCATATATCATTTATTGTGTTGACAATAGCTGGATAAAAGCCATAAAAACAGATAAGAATACATTCCACACTCAAACCACAGCTTATATGGGTGGAGATGTGACAGATCAGTTACAGTACATTGCTATCTGCACACTTGACCTTGGCTCGACAAACTGTACTTAGTCTAGCAGACATTTCATTTTGATAACATTTAAAATAGCCATTCTCTACCACACATTTTAGCATGCACTCCCTTTCTGTCTTTATAGCATAAATATTAGCCTTAGATAGCAAAAGAACAATCCCACTCACGTCAAAAACAGTCCTTGTGCTGATTAAATGTTCCACACGTGTTATAGTGTCAGACTGTTCATAAATAGTGTCAGACTCTTCATAAATCTAGTTAATAAATCTCCAAGAAGGAATGTCTATGTATAATCCACTATCTTTCAAGATACTCCTGCCCAGTATAAAGGCAAAGATAAAGCGAATGAAGAATACAAATGAACATAGCGCAGTGAGTGGACTCTAACCTGGCTGAAGTTAACCATTAACAGCTATCATCTCACTCTCATTCACAGAGGCCATAGCGTCACAGACTTGTTATGCAATGCAAAAATGGTTGTTAAAGGTAAAACTAACTGGATTCTGTGGATCTGTGGGACTTGGCCCAGGCCTGGCTGAACACAGTCAGCTGTTTCCTTCTCTCTTTCTTGCTTGCTGTTTGTCTGACATTTTACTCTCCCTCTCTCTTTTTCCCCTCTCTCACACATACAAAGACTCCTTCTCACAGAGTTAGAATGAGCGAGTGTAAACTGAGAAAAAAAAGGGAGAGAGTAAAGGAGAAGCAGGGAACCCTGCTCTGGCACAGGGGGACAGTCAAGTCCTCCTGCAGGGACAGAGTTACAAATAGGCCCTCTCTCTCACACACACACACACACACACACACACACACAGGTTACTAATGGACCTTTTAGAACCACTCAGTTTTCACTTGACAAAACAGCATTAATCAGGATATTTCTTTTACTATGTCTTTTTAATGTTTCAAAAAGCTTCTAAATGAAGTATCTAAAACATCTAGATGCAGGATTCATCTTAAACTGACAAAGCTGCTGTATACTCATGTGACCTGTGGTAAAATCATCCAGGACTGCAAGCAGAAAACATAGTGAGCATGCATCAGCTTTGCCAGTCAACAAGGTAGAGTAATGGCAACCACAGCCGCTCAAAGCAATGAAATAATACTACAGAAAAGAAGTCGTAACCTCAGTCCAGCATGGAACAGATCACCATGCTGTGTAAAGTTTGTAAAAATGTTATTCAACCTTAAGTGGCAGCATGACATTTATTTTGATATTTAAATTTGATATTAAATTGTATTACTGATTTCATTCTTATTTTTAATCATGTTAGTCTTGTGGTCATGTAGACAGAAAAAAAGATTAAAATGGTAAATTGTCCATAACACCCCCCACACACACACACTGTATTTTCATTCCTTGTGGGGACTTTACATTGACTTACATTCATTTTCTAACTTTAACCATAGCCACTACTTGCCTACCACTTACCCTCATCCTGACACCTAAACCATGTTGCCACCCTAAAATTCAGTGATTTGTGGGTCAAGTCCCCACAGTGTGAGTGTGTTAACAGGTTTCATTCCTCATGATGCAAGTAATACAAAGGCACGCACACACACACACACACACTAATGTTTTGGTCACATCACTCAGCCCTACTTGTTGGTTGGCAAATTTAATGCAAACAGATACTACACACTAAAATCATGACTAATGCAAGAGAGGCTTATTTTGTAATTACTCCTGATGAGTTGTGCATCTTCTACCACCTGCTACACAACAAATATACTTCCATCCGTCCATCTTCGTCCACTTTATCTGAGACCAGATCGCTGAGGCAGAGCCTCCCAGACTTCCTTCACCCCACACACCTCCTCTAGCTCCTCAGGAGGAACCCCAAGGCATTCCCAGGCCAGCCTGGAGACATAGTCTCTCCAACGTGTCCTGGGTCTGCCCTGAGGCCTTCTCCCGGAGGGACATGCCCGGAATACCTTCCCAGAGAGGCATCCAGGCGGCATCCTAAACAGGTGCCCAAACTGCACATCTTAGAGTGGCCTTTTATTGTGGCCAGCCTAAGACACACCTGTGCAATAATCATGCTGTCTAACCAGCATCTCGATATACCACACCTGTGAGGTGGATGGATTATCTCAGCAAAGGAGAAGTGCTCACTAACACAGATTTAGACAGATTTGTCAACAATATTTGAGAGAAATAGGCCTTTTGTGTACATAGAACAAGTCACAGATCTTTGAGTTCAGCTCATGAAAAATGGGGGCAAACACAAAAGTGTTGTGTTTATAATTTTGTTCAGTGTACATAAATAAAACCTAGAATATGGCAAACATTTGGTGAACTTTTAGTTTTTCACTGTCATGAAAAATTATGGCCTCTAGTGGCAGCAACAGAATACAGCATCTCTATTGGTGTAATGTTTAACTGTCATTACTCTTACATTTGCTCTCAGTCAACAGCATAATTAACGGCAACAGCTTAAGATATAAGCCTACACAGCCTACCAGTCATCCTATTTTGCTGTCTGTGTGCCAGCCTCTCAACCAGATTAGTCTCAGTGTCTGCATGTTGATATGTTTGTGTGTGTGTGTGTGTGTGTAGTATAGTATAGTATAGTGCATGCATGAACAGCTACCTCCTCCCTGACCCAACTAAATCCATTCTCACTTCTGATCATGGTAGTCAGGATACATCACACATGAATGTATAAGCACGACTGTGCAGGTATGGTGGGCTGTGCTCATGCAAAGACACAGATGACCTTAAAACTAGAATTACTGCCTTGCAGCTGTATGCCTCCACCAAACAGTCCAATTCACAGGTATGGTACAGAAATGAGGTCACTGACCTTGACCTGTGACCACCAAAATCTAATCAGTTCATCTTCCCTCAAGGCATTCCT